GTTTATTTTGTAGGTATAAACATATTCAGCGAGGGAGAGGGAAAGAGAGGTTTTGTATTTTATTTGTCACTAGTATAAACTATGCAAGCGCAATTCCAATAATTGTTCAGTTCTTTTTGTGTTTTAGAGATCATTCAATTTTAGCTAAAGTATCTTTTTCATATAGCGGAATTCTCTCCTCTCTTTTTTCAGTAAAATGAAATCCTGTGTTACTTTTCAGATCTATTAGCCATCTTCATTTTTGTGACGCTTTAGATACAACACAAGGTTGATTCCTCCCTCGTGCTCGTGGAGTTACTGGAATCACCTATTTGAATAAACATTTTTGTGAACACTTGAAAGAAAAAGAATATTTCTACTCTATCATAAAATATTCAAACAATACTTCTACTCGCATTCAATTTCGCCCGGTTCTATTTAACTCCAAAAACCCACTCTAATCCGATCACCACTTAATATCCAAACATAAGCCTGTAATCCCTCTCGTCAGCTATGAATCACAAGCACGGTTAGTGGAGTGTGGTGCATCTTGGATCCGCACAAAGCCTTGGGCAATACTCGAATATAGATTTGTCTTTCTATGTTCCAAAATAAAGTATTTTCCAATTTCCATCGTCATCGCGTCAAATGATACACAGAACTTCGAAATTATTGGCATGCAATGTCTCTTGAAAGTTCTTTGCGCACGAAAGGTGAATCAAATTAGAACCCAAAATCGTCCATTATATAGTCAAAATTATTAACGCCAACAAAACGGTGCCATTATAGAAACTCTAGATCGCTGCCTATATCTATCAGTGCAAAGAAAGAATAAAGTGTCTACTGCTCATAAATAAGTCAAAATACTTTACAAAAGTCCGAGTCAGAACAAGGACCAGAAGAGAAGAGAGACAGAATCTACATTATATAATTACATAAACACGTCCTCCACTTCCAAAGGAAACAAGATGAGTACTCACACCAAATAGACATGTCAAACATTTCCAAACTAGTCTCTTTCCATGAAAGTAGAAAGACTACAGCTTACTACTAGATAACTTTGTCTCAGTGTTTGTTTGGCCCCTACTCAGGATTAGAATAGCAAGATCTCCAGTACATCCATTATAGATCTAACTCATTTTATGCTTTATATACTATCAAACTATTACCTACGACGGCGTTTAGTATCCACCTGCAATACCAGGAAAAACATGTTAATGCATCAATCATTTCTTTTTTCAGCAGAAATTTTACATGAAAACTGCATTCTCAAGTAAATATCCTTATAATGAACAATAGCACTTGGGGTTTTTCCATGGCCACACGCGACCCATATCAACATTATTCGGGTGGTCAAAACTGACAATTCTTGTGTGTAATAATATATCATGGCAGACTTCCAAAAATATGTAGCACAAATAAAACGCTATTTTTTTTAGGCATTCAAGCAATTCAAAATGTAGTTTCAAATTCTTGAATATGCAGTACAACAATGAAAACAGAGATCATTCTTTGTCTTAAAATTCACATTAACCTGGAAGAAACTTAAGTTAACCAAAACAGGAGTGGAAAAATATATGAAATACCGAATGCATGTGTCATAATCAGGCGCTTGTTATTCATCAAATGAAAATTTCATTTGCAATGGCTATTCCTATTTGTGAACCGGTGAGATGCACATTATATCATCTTATAAGAACACAGATTCTCACAATGAATACGTAACTCCCCCCAAATGAAAAAAATGAACCAACTGATAATGCATCTGACAAAGGATCAAAGAATACTGAAGTGGATTTAACAAACCAATAGATAATAGATGAAGATATCAACTTCTCCAAAGCCTCGGCGAGTCAATTCAAATGGTATTAAGTTCTGAAAAAGTGAAAACAAGTTCACGTTATCAAACAACAGTAATTAAAATACCTTTGTATCTGAGTGTCTAGAAGCAGAGTGAGAGTTTTGCAACTTTTTTTGACCTTCGGCAGAACAACTTTCACAAAAGAAGTGGTCAAGTCTTTTGGCTTCCTCCACAGTCATGTCTATACAAGCAGGATGGAACCTGAATAATAATATAAAAAAATAATATGCTGAGGACTGCATTCACCCAAAGCCTCATATCCACAAAATAATGGCACATGTTGCAAAACAAGTTTTTTTCGAACATTCAAATCCTGCTTGAAAGAGGCACTGAAACCAAAATCTTCTATTTATCATGATTTGGCAAACAAACTAATGGTCTCGAGATAGATCTTAAAAGCCCATTCTTTAAAATGGCTCTCTACTACACTTTACAAATTTATGATGCCTCCCATAAAAATAAGTAAAAAAAAATACCAACACTCACAAAGAAGATCTTTGGTTAGTTTTATTGTAAGAAAGACGAGTATATGAAAATTGCTATGAATAAAATTGATGTTATCTTGGTTTAAGACCAAGCTTAAAAGAATTTTAATTTAGTGGTTCCACTTCCATGAACAATTAGTTGATTAAGATTTTAATAATTTGGGATAGCCATGAAAGTCAAGTTCATCACTCCATACAATATAAAGGCTATTCTTAACTAGTCTATAGATGCGCTACTATTTGACTATTTGAATTACCATGGGAATAATCATAAAGATGAATCCCCTCCCAGAATAAGAGAGGGATTTCATCCCAAAAGCATTATTAATCCTCCAAATCTTCTTTTCCAACATTTCATACCTTCATTATCCTTATTAGTGGGAGAGGCACTTCGTGCTTCTGTAAATTTATTTAAAATTAAAAATAAAAAATATAGGCGGTCATGATACACAGAAAAAAACAGTTGAAGAGTAGTAGTGATTATTTTTTAAAAAGAATGAAAGAGTAAATAAAAAGCAAGTGAATTTAGGGTAAAAGTGTCAATAAATAAAATGGATACGAAAGGCGGCTACTAAAAATGGTATTGCCTTTATTAATAGAATAAATATTTCTATTTAAGCCATAGTTAACAATGTTGGATAGCGGCAAAACACAACACTATAGAAGGAAGTGGGATGGCCACTATTTTAAATATTATAATACAAACTAAACAATTTATGTTACACCTATAAATATAAGGGGGTCTAGCTCAATTGGTTGAGCTGGGTGTATAAGTGTCGTAAACCCTCTTGGTAAACCCTCTTGGTACCATATTCGATTCCCATGGATCAAAAGAAAAATACTACACCTATAAATGCTCAAAAAATAATTAAAGTAATTCCTGATAAATAAGAAATCACAGTTTATACACAGAATCACCATCAATCTAGGGCCAATAAGAACATAGTAATGAAGTCGAAAAATGAAAGATGATAGTGAAAATAATAGAAAAAGAGCATGACACATGATAAAAATTAGTAGAATGTCTGAAAGTGAACTAGGAAGTTTAATGGAAGAAGAAAGAATGAAACACGGGAAAAAAACATAGCCCTATAGAGTGTGAAGGAACAAAAATCAAAGCATAGGTAACTTTTTGAGGAATGGTCGAGGAAGAAGGGTTCAAATCTGATGCTTTTAAGCGAAAAAAATATGCATTAGAAAATGGTGGGGAAATCACAACTCTGCCTGAAAAAACCCTAATCAATGTTGTTGGAGTGTTAAAATGGGTATTTGAAGCCTATATCATGGTAGCACTGCTATAACACATGAATAGTCACTGTTGTGGCTGTGGCCACTATTTGAATCCCATTGCAGCCCAAGGCCTCTCCGCTACTCTGCTATAGTGCTATTCAGTATTGACTACTATGGTTTAAGCATATTTCAAATATCAACTTAGACAAATATTTATGGGAACCTCAAAGCTAAGCAATGGTGGATTGAAATGCCATTGCAAGCATACATGCAAAAGAGTGGAAGCACTAAAATACCATAGTCATAATGAATCCAAATGCACAAGATTTTTTAATGAATTTTATTATGAAATTTATGAAACAAAGTAGTTTTGGTAATTATCTATGTCAAACAATCATAATAAGGAAAGAAATACGAAATTAATGAGAAACCTAATCAGTGGCAGACAGCATGTTTTTCAAATTAAAAGGCTGAATAACAAGACCACCTAAATGTATTGTTTGCTTTAGGTTCCATCCCAGTGTTATCAAATGTGGATTGCGGAAAATGGCAGAAAGCCAATAATCTGCTATATCATACAGCGGATAGCATACTAGGCAAATCGTGGAAGTTGCATAGCAGTTAAAATATATGAAATATATCAATTATATATGACATAGTATTTACTCAAAAGTTCAATTGGTTGAAGAGTCAGCAGAGATGACTAGAGGGTGTAGGATACATGCTGCAAACATGACATCATTGCAACCACTATAGTGGATGGAGTCATGATTGCAGATTAAGGAATTCTTAAACGCAATAGCAATATAGCGCCGCTATAGTGGCTATTCAACAACCCTGCTCCATCTGGATCTTTACTTATATAGCCGTGAACCATACAAGTAGACATAATTAAAAGAAACGTGGTTCTCTTGAGTTACAATCCAAAAGTCAATAATCAACGAGTAGAACAAAATTTAAATGCATGCAGCAATGCATGAAAAAAGAATGTGTATAAACAAGCACTGTATAAGCAGAAAGGAAAGCCAGGGATATGTTAAATAACAACTGCCTAGACAGAACCAAAATATGCAAGGAAGAAAAAGACCCGCACAACAATCACCAATACATAAAATAGTCAAGCACACTGGCTGTTATTAAGAATGGTAGCATTCCTTAAGCAATGAAACCAAAATAATAATGGAAAAGAATAGTCCAAGTTAATTGGAGAGTCTGACACAAGAGAAAATGATGCCTGCAGTGTTAGTGCTGACTTAATATACTTGTTTTCTTCACATGAAACCAAAAGAAAAGAGATAAACATTAATAAAAAAACTGATACTTAAAACGAAAAGCATCAGGATGATGCAACATAACTACAGAACTGGACATACAAGAGTCCAGCAAATCAAACAGAAACAGGAACATACAACAAACAACAGAAGCCGAATAAATTAAAGATAATATCACTTTACACATTCAATTTACCAGTCACTGCAGCCCTCGCATTGGACCATTAGGTCATCAGGATTGTAAGGCATCTCACATTTACAATACCTGCAATGAAAATTTTTAACATGACACGAGTCAGAATCCAGATAAGATCCCGCAGCTTCTCGATTCTAACAAAAAGCTGATTCTTACCATTTTCCAACTGAACAAACAAACAAAACTCTAATAACATAAATTAAGCAATATATATAGTTTTTAGAATAATCGTAATCTGAGTCATCCCCAATTTAACCAACAGAAACCTAGACTAGTCATTAACCAAAACTCATCCTAAATTAATTACTAATTGATAGCTGCTGAACTAACAAAAATACATAAAGGGAAAAAATTCCATTCCGACACGAAATTCTACCAAAAACAAAAATATATTTCGAATTTAACGCAGCAGAGACTGTAACAAAAAAAAAAATATCTCTCGGATAAGTGATGGACTCACACGGCGACTCTATCAGGATTGAAGGCGCCGGAGGAGGAATTGTACTCGAAACGGCAGAAGAAATCGTCGTTTCCGACGGCATCGAGCTTCGTGTAGCTCTTGAAACTGTGGACCGTACACTTGCCTTCGATGGTGTCGGCGCTCTGAACGTCGAAGTGATCGGAGAGGAAAACCTCTTTGGAACCGTGAAACTGGCGGCGACCGCCGATTGACTCCTCCGGCCGATAGTACCACCGTACGTGAATCTTCACGTTCGCGCCTCGCGCGTCGGCTTCGATCCGCTCGATCTTCGCCACGTACGACGGTTTCGACGGATCGGAAGGCCGCATGAGCACGCAATCGCCAGCTGCGAGACAACAACAAAACGCGAGTTTCGATTCATGAAAGCAAACAGAGAGAGCACAAAAGATAATTCATCTCAAAAACAAAATTCTATGAATTATTTTTTTCCGAGAAAGCGAGTGCGAGTTCGCTTACCTTTAATGGTTTTGCTTATGTGTTTGACTGAGTATGACTCTAGGGTTCGCCTTTGAGCCTTCGGCTTAGCCATGGAAAATGGAAGCACACGCGATGGAGAAGATTGAGGATGAAAAAAAAAATACAGAAAAAATATTCAGCCTTATTTTATTTTATTTTATTTTATAAATATTCAGTTATTTAACTTTGTTGTTTCGGTGCTTCGCTGAACAGGGGAAATGGTGTGCCCCACTTTCTTTCAACGTTCACTGACCGCAGGTTTGGAATGGACCGCAAACTCTGCTATTCAGCGCATCAGAAATTATCATATATTTTGTTTAAAAATAATAGAAATTACATAATATAAACTAAAAAAGAGATTATATATAATTAAAAGAATAAAATAATTTTAAATAAAATTAGAGATAAAAATGACTATAAAATAAGAAAATAATTATTATTGATAAAAATAATTAATTAATTTTTTATACATATTTTTTTATTATTTTATCTTTAAAAAATATAATGATGAGAAAAAAATTAATAAAAAGAGATAAATATTTAAATTTTTAAATAAAACAAAATATCTTTTTTATATATAATATAAATTTTTTAATTATTTATTAACTATTATTTTACATATATGTTTCACGAATATTTGGTATATATAATAAATATTTATCATAATTTACATATATAAATAAATATTGTATTTTTATATATATATATATATGAGAGATATCTAAAATTTGTATAAACATATAATTTAAATATATGAGTTATATTTTAAATTTAAGATAAATAATTTATATTATAATATAAAATTATTTTTATTTATTGATAATTTATTTTTAAATATGAATATTTAATTCATAAATAAATAGAAATTGAATTATATAGAAAATAAAAAGAATTTCTAAAATTTCTCTCAACAAAAAATAATTCTTAAAAATATTTTATGTGAAATAATTGTTGATGTTTAATACAGATTGATATTTTGGTATAATTAAGAAGAAGAAAAAAGGCTAACAACTATTAAAATCTAGAACATTTAAACCCCATAAATTCTGGCATATAGTGGAGTTATATTTTTGTCATTTCTTCTCATGATTCATGTTACTTATTACCATAGTTCCGCAAATTATGAGATTATAATTATTTTTGTGCATGATGGTGTGGAAGCTTACACAATATGTGTGGTCATCCTTTTTAATGGGCACTGTATGAGACCGAGAGGAGCTTGGCCGGTGTTGATTCAACAAGTGATACAATTTAAAATCTCAATTTCTCAGTCTTAGTGAGAGGGCTCGATCAACCCATTATAAAATTATTAAATTTATAATTTATAAATTATGATTAAATCACTATGCTTGCCCTATTTTCTGAAAATGAACTACACTTTCATTTTATTTTCTACTTTCAGTTTGGTTCTTTGAACTTTGAAAAATTCACTTTCATTTCCATCATTATTAGATGAAATTAGTCTTTCTATATTCTTTTATCAACAATATTCATTTTAGTTGATATCTCGAGCGTTCATTTTAATACATTATCTTTCATGATTTTATTTTTATCTTTCTATCAAAACTCAAAAGAGATAATTTTAAGAAAAGTTAAGAATAAAAAGAGAGAATATGTTAACGAAATAGAAGGCAGTGGATGGAGGAAATTTATTGGAGGTGGCATTCCGTTATAACAGTAGCGCGTAATAATAATAAAAAAGAAATGTAGAGTTAGAGTGAGAGGTGCTTTACACATCATGAAAGCGTGGATCAGCCTATTCCACTTTCGGTACAGCGTGAGACCAGTCATGCTTTTCCATTTCAAGTAGTATTCATAATTTTATCCCCACTTTGATAAAAAAAATAAAAAATAATAATATTTATAATGGGTAGGTAAATATTCACTTAGTGCGTGTTTGGATTTGCGTTTGTAAAATTGATTTGAGATTAACGTAATTTTGTATAATTGATTTTAAGTAAACGTGATTTTAAAGTAACGTGATTTTTGTTTGAGTACATTTATTAGAAAATTGATTTTCATATTAAATTATGTTTGAAAAATAGTTATCAAAATTGATTTTAAGTGTATAATTATCAAAATAGACCTTACAACTGCATTGACAAAACGTGAATGATGCGGTATCCTCTATTGTCCATTTAAATTGAAGATTTCCAATACTTTCACGAGGACAAATGAGGAAAATCAAATATTTACTTACTAGAATCAATTTCTTGAAAACGTAGAAGCAAATCTTCATCTGCTTAAGCCAAAATTGATTTTCGTTCACAGAATCGTGTGAAGAAAAATAATCCAAACATGTTTCAGAGAGACAAATTGCGTTTTCAGAAAGAAATACGCGCGTTGCATCAGGGCAACGCGCATCCAAACACGGGCTTAATGAGATGAGATTAGGATTATAGACGCAGGGATAGGGACTATATTATCTAATTCATTCCTTACTCGCATATTTTTCCCTATATTTTAGGAGATTTTTTCTAATGAAAATATTATTTCTTGAGAATTTTATGATAAATTATTTTTTAAAAGTCAACTTGTTATTTTAAAAGTAAATCTTTTATATAAAAATAGATTAATGACCTTGAATGAGATTGGTTATTCTTTAATGAAAATATTTTTAATTATATTTTTTTAATATAAATGTGTTTAAATATTTTTTTATTTATGTCTTATCATGTTCTTGACTAGTGAATAAATGTATCATTTTTACCTTTTTGTTGGGAAGATCTGGTCAAGTTATTAGTTGAAGAGATAACGACTTCATTACTCATGCCTTTACTTGTAAACTGACTTTACATTTATCTGACTTTAGACTCATACTCCTAAAATAACTCAGCATTTATTCGACTCGAGACTCGTATCTAATACAAAATCCAATCAATGATCATGATTGTACACAAAAATACAGTATCCAATAATGGATAAATTTTCACAAAATCTCAAAATTCTCACACTTATAAAAATATAATAGTTAATAAAATTCCCATTCTAAAGTAAAGACAAACATTATATATTTTTAAATGCTCTAGTGCGTTTTTCAGGTTGAGACAACTTTCAAAATAAATTTTAATATATTTAAATAAATTAATAATTAAAAATAACTTTGTATCTCTTATAATCTAGAGTATTGTACTATAGATAACCTACTAGATTTCTAAAGTCAAAATATTAAAATTTATAATATTTTTTCTTTTCAAAGTACTATTTATACCTAATTGCCCTATTTTTGTGGATCCTATGATTTATGAAATTTTTTTGTGGATTTGTATAATGTACTTTGATACTCAATCATAGTTATTAATGGTTGGATTTTGTATAAGATACAAGACTCATATCAAGGAATTCTTGAGGCCTTGTATGGACATGGGCATAAAGACATGTTATTGAATCAAGTGACACTCTCAATAAAATGCCAAATGAATACACTCAACCATCAATCTCGAACATTCAATGTGAGGTTTAAATATGTAACTGCAAATAAAATTTGTTCTAGGTAAAAATTGGATATTATAAATGAGACGTGTTTTTTTTTTTTTTAAAAAAAAGAGAGTATTTGCGGATAATAGGTATGAATATTTTTTATACCTACATATTAATAGGGCAAGTATCATAATATTGGTATCGTAAGTATTCACCAATATTCAATTATATAATTATATATTAAATTTGTTTAAATTCATGAGAATAAAGTACCTTAACAGTTAAATTTAATTTTAAAATTGAAAAAAATTTATTAATAAAATTATGTATAATATTTGAATAATTTAAGTTTTGACTTTTAAACTGTTATTTTAAAAGAATATCTTATAATAAATGAAAATTATTATTAAAATATTTTTTATTTTTCAAAAAAATTATAAATATATACAGATATTCGTGAATACATAAAAATATTAAAAAATATATGCGAATATTCACTTAATAAATATTTATACAAATGAAGATGAATATATACGAGATAAATATTTATCCAACAAAACAAATAACGAGAGACTACTATTTACACCCACTCTGTCTTGTTGGCATTCCTATTGAAAATTGAAAGATGTACTATCTACAATCGACTCACAAGATATATTATTATAATATATTATAAATTATTTATTGTAAAAATATAATTTATAGGTTATGAATTATTTATTATGAAATTTAATTTTAATATAACTTATATATCTAATTATTATAAACATTTATTTTGGAAATATTTATTTAAAATATTTTAATAAAAAATGCACTTAGGAAATTGTAGATGTTGCGTGCAGCTGTAAATGAATAGATATCCGATAAGATCGATAATGTGATTAAAATTACTACCTGTTAGTGAGTATATGAAACGAAATATAAGTATTTTCTTTTTCTAATATAAATATTTATTTTTCAGATATATTGGTACAAAAACAAATACTATAATACTCTATCCGAACCCCAAATCCAATGTATTATATTATCATTCGTAATTCCAACTTCCTTAGCGTCAATTGTCAACTTCTGGAACCTAAGCCCTAAATTATTAGTTATTTTTACTATTAATTATTTGTCATTAAGTGTAAAAATTATAACAAGTGATTACATTTGATATAAGAGAAATTTTAACAAAAAATTTGACATAAACATACAAGATAATATGAAATTATAATTTAACTTAGATTAACAAAATTTACTTATTATATAAAGTTATTAAGTAGTGTAATAGTTGGTAAAAATTATATTAGTATCATTTGATTTCTTCCTATATATATATGTGCACGAGATAAAAGTTCAAATTACTCAAAGAATAACTTTTAGTAAAATTATTTTATTGAATAATTTATGATATATGTTAAATTAATTTTTTTAATGATATATCATTTCAATTACACAATATATATATATATATATATATATATATATAAAAGAGGGATATAATAGTCAATCAGAGTCATTAATAGTGTATTTTCATCTGCTCATTTAATTAAATTAAAATAAAAAAAGGCACTATTAACGGCTCTGATTGACTGCCAGTGTAAAAAACTTTACACCGGCAGTGTATAAATGATTAACTCTTATAATAATACCGATGTAATTTTTACCTAGTATTATACCGTTCAACAACTTCATATTAAATGCGAATTTTGTAAATCTAACCGTTAGATTGAAAGTTCATATCACTTTATATGTTTATATCAAATTTTGTTAAAATTGAACAACAACTTTAAAGTAATAAAAGTGTTCATGTTTTAGTATATTTTGAAATACATATATTACATCTATTTTATTTTATTAAAATGAAGTATCAAATCATTTTGGGTTAATATAAAATTTTGTACATATGATTTAAAAGTAAAGAACTTACAATCAAGGTTGGATATATATATATATATATATATATATATATATATTAAAAAAGAGAGTTCAACAAGGGAAACGATGGCAAGCAGGGAATCGCTATCTCTCCCACCTCCCCCATGTACTTCTTCCCTTTTTCCCTTTGGGATA